TATAGCCAGGTGGGGGTTGGTCTCTTCTCCCAGGCAACCAACAATAGGACAAGGGGACATGGGCTCAAGCTCTGCCAGGGGAGGTTTAGGTTAGATGTTAGGAAGAAATTCTTTACAGAGAGGGTAATCAGGCATTGGAACGGCCTACCCAGAGAGGTGGTGGATTCACCATCCCTGGAGGTTTTTAAGCAGAGGTTGGATGTGGCCCTTAGTGTCCTGCTATAGTAATTGGAGTTGGATCAGGGGTTGGACTTGATGATCTTGGAGGTCTTTTCCAATCCAATCTATTCTATGATTCTACGTCTAAAAACTAGTTGTTAAACTAACAACTTTCAGGCTGCAAATATCCTCATGTTAAATGCTCAAAGGGTGAAAAAAAAAAGATTTCACTCCTTGAAGTGCACAGCTTCTTTCAGCTTCAGTGAACCGTGAAAATATCAAAGGGATAACTTGCAACTCAGTATTTTGATGTTCATCAGTCCTCAGATTGCTTCAGTAAGAAAAACAGCTGCTTCAGTATTGTACAGCATTGCATTACATGCTGTTACATTAGTTTTTTTGGATGGTACGACTGTCTCAAATTTTTAGTTCCGTTAAAGAACATAGAGTCTTCAGTGGTCCTTGAGAGGTGATGATCCTTCAAAAACTCAAAGTGAAAAATGTTTAGGGAGAGTGAAACCAGCCTATTTCCTATGAAAATGACACTTGAGTATATTCTTCCTTTTGAACCTATTTACTATTTCAAGGTATTCTCAAAGAAGGGATGGAAAATTCAAATGACAATCACGTCCCTATAAATTTAATGAAAAACAAAATTCAGTAACCCAAATATAAATAGGTACTAAATTTTATAATATATTGAATTGTCTTTCTTACTCAAATGTTCCATCTGTAAAAACCAATGTGTTTAAGTATCTTTTATATGGAAAGTATTTCAAAATTAATTTTTGGTGCTGAAATTATCTGAAGAATAATTATAAGCATTCTGCCTTTGCATCCACACCTTAATTTACTCTGTCCCCAAAGAATTCTCAGTTAATGCTTGTAGACATTTAAATTACTTTTAACTTACTGATATTTTTGTTTACAGGCTGGTGGCTAATATAATTTGTCAGCTTGCAATAATAAGTTTCTTCTACTTTTTGATCTTAAATTCTTTTGTTCAAATCCAATAATTATTTTTTCCACATCTTATATATCTTCCATCATAACTATATTATTAACTTACCTAAAGAGATGGTGGAACTCTTCTGTATTTGTGATATTCTGAAAATTTTATCTTCTATTATATAATTTTTTAAGTAGTCATTTTAAAGAAGATACAGTACATCCCAGAGTATTCCTAAACTGATACAGTGGAGAGATTTCCCTCATTATCTATATAATATATTTTTCAGCCTCAAACATCTAATTTTATTTAAACATTTTGAGATTCCTAACTTTTCATCAAAACCCAAGGCTATTTTATAGAATGTCATGATGTGCTTTCCCCCTCCCCCCGATTTTCTAAAACATTTATTTAATATTATTTTCCTTGTTTTTATTGAGTAATTGACAACTATAAAATATTTGATCCCCCAGGAGTACCTTTCTTCTAAATCTCATATTGATGTTCCCTTCTCATTTCCTTTGATGGAGATGGTATTAATGATAGAGATGTCATGATAATCTACCAATTTAATCTTGTCATGCTTTCTCCAAAGTTGTTATATGAAGCTGTTCATCTGTTCCACTGAGATATCTTCAGACTACTAAACCTAACTTATTAAGCTTTTTATCTTTTTCATTTCATAATTAATCAAGAGATTTACCAGTATGTTATTTTGCTGTTCTCAAGAAACCTGATTTCATCTTGTTTATTTTGAAAAATATTAGCCATATTAGCTTCCAGAAGAAGCTGTTTGCTTACACCATAATTAAGAAGCTTACTTCTCTCAATAAATAAAAAGGTGATAAACAAACCTTATATATTTAAATAAAACGGTGCCCACTTTCATTCTCTGTCAGATCTTCTCCACTGCAGTGATAGCATCTTCTATTCCTTTTACCCCATTCCATGTCCTTCAGATCTATATAGGCAATGCTTCTATCATCAACTCTTCACTGGTTTGGAGATCTGAAAAAGAGAAGACTCAAAGAAAGATAACAGCAGTCTACATAAGTCGGGTGGAGAGTGAGAGTAGAGATCAACTGCTGATTGTCTATTTGAAAAAAAACTAGTAAAGGGTATCAGAAAAGGAAATACTTCTTCACACACTGTAGAAGTCCTGGCCATGTGGCACTGGAATATTAAAATGTCATAGGAGTTCAAAAAGCAATGATCAAATGTATTGAAGGAAAAACAATGGGAACTGTTAAATGCAAAAACTTGCATATGTTTTGCAAGCAACAGGCTACTGGAACTTGGGCAATTATCCTGTGATGTGTCACTATATGCTTATCTTATTCTTACCCCGCTTCTCTGAGCATCTACTATTGGCAGATTTTGGGAGCAAGAAATGGAGGGAGTGAGACATTTTGTGCAACCTAGAGGCCAGGGCTGACCCCAACCCAAGGCTGACCCTTGGCCTCTCATCTGCCAGAGATTCTTTTTCCAAAGACATATGATCTGTGAGGCATATCAGTTCTCAGCTGTTCTTTCCAGCCTTTACGAAAATGGTGCTTGTTATTATTTCACTTGTTATACCATCTGATGGCCTCCTTGTTTGTGTCAAGATCAGCTATAATGTTCACACAGTTTTAAAACCCACAAGTCTATTTTATTAATATCATATGATATCCCTATCTTTAATGGAATTCCTCTCAAACACTGCATTTTATGAGCAACCCAGCCAAGTTCCCATTCTTTATTGTGCCAAAGGTTGGTTGTTGTTGTTTTTCCTTCCCTTTCACTGCTTCACAGATTTACAGTTAACTTCCCTTATTAGTATTCTGACAGACAGAAGTTAAGTGGCCACCAGCTGGCATCCTAATTTTTCAAAGTAACTTTTGAACTTATAACTTTGAATATGTAAAGCACATCTGTAAACTCTACATATCTAATATAGAAAAGAAGTCAATATGAATAATGCAAGCTATGGATATTCCTTAAATATTAAATGCTTGGGAGGTAGAGGCTATTAGACTAGTGTAATTACTGTCCATAGGCTTTAATTTTCAGTAATACTTGATTGCAACCCAGTCAGATTCCAGGAAGAAATATTATAGGACCAAATGCAAGGTTATTATATGCCAAGGGTAAGGTGCTGCACCTGAGTCAAGACAATCCATGGTATCAGGATTGTCTTGATACCAGGTACAGGAGGGGGGATGAACAGATTGAGAGCAGCCCTGCAGGAAGGACTTGGGGGTGCTGGTGGGTGAGAGGCTGGACATGATCCAGCAAAGTGCACTCACAGCCCAGAAAGCCAGTTGTATCCCAGGCTGCATCAAAAGCAGTGTGGCCAGCAGGGCAAGGGAGGTGATTTTGCCCCTCTACTCTGCTGTGGTGAGACCCCACCTGGAGCACTGCATCCAGCTCTATCCACAGGAAGGATATGGACCGGTTGGAGCAAGTCCTGGGCGGGGAGGGCACGAAGTTAATCAGAGAGATAGAGCACCTCTCCAACGAGGAAAGCTTGGGAGGACTGGTGTTGTTCAGCCTAGAGAAAAGGCAGCTCTGGGCAGCCTTCCAGCACCTGAAACAGGCCTACAAGAAAGACAGAGAGGGTCTTTTTAGAAGGGGATGTAGTGACAGGACAAGGGGATGTAGTGACAGGACAAGGAAAGGAATGGCTTTAAACTGGGAGAGAGAAGGTTTAGATTAGGTATTAAGAAGAAATTCTTCACTGAGAGAGGTGGAAAGACACAGGAACAAGTTGCCCAGAGAAGCTGTGCATGCCCCATTCTTGGAAGTGTTCAAGGCAAGGTTGGACGGTTCTTGGGGCAACCTGGTCTAGTGGAAGGTGTCCCTGATTATGGTAAGGGGGTTGGAACTAGATGATCTTTAAAGTTCCTTCCAACCAAAACCATTCTAAGTTTCTCTGATACTTTATTGTCCAAATAAAATCCCAGGAAAAAAGTTATTTTCCAGCACAGTCAGATAATGGCTAGAAAAGAGACTGACAGTTCAAGTCCTAGTTGTTCTCAGTATTCTTGATCTTTTGCTCTATCTCCTCTAAAGTTTACTGTTTGTTTGATTTTTAAAATATGTGTGGAAATAGGGTTATGATTTTTGTGACAATCCACCCATAAATAGAAATGAGGCAACATTTTTATTTGTGTGGGACAAATGTCTCTCAACATGTGGGAGAGAGACTTTAACTTACTAGATAACTGCTAGATCTGGGAAAAAGGCAGGCATAAAAGACTTTTTTCCAGAATATTCTTTTTCCCTACACACCTTTCCTCCTGTATCTGCATAATATAAAATCACCCATTATTTGTCTGAGCATTTTTCTTGTTACAGCACATTCTTAGTGGATCTATATAGTATTTTACTCATCTGTTGTGCCATTGTTGTCAGCATGTTTCTGTTTCACTTACCAATGATTTGTTTCTGTTTCACTTACTAATGATTTGTTTCTGTGAAAATTTAAGCTAGCCTGTCCATTTTTAAACTTTAAGAACTTAAAAAAAATATTTCAGAAAGATAATTTTATTAGTTAAAAAAAAATGAATTGATCCTGTGATCTCCTTCTTTTCCTATGAGGATGCTCTGTGGGATTCCTGAGCTGGGTGGGGAGAAGGAAGAGAATTAGACAGAAAAGATACAAAAGATCAGTTAATTTTCCTTAACTTTCAACTGCAATTTCAAAGGCCCTCGGGTATCTCAGATAGATGCCCTCAGACACCACAAAAAGCTGAGCTATTCCTTAGGTTCAGCCAGCCCTGTATTCCAAGACATATCCCATTCCCTGGGATATGCCTTGACTGTCCCAGGGAATTTCAGATGACCCTCACCTAGAGACTAAAATGATGGGAAAAAAGTGGGGCTGAGGTTGTTTGTTTATCTCTTTCTAATCTACCATTTCCAATTGATTTGGTAAGCTGTGTAGCACAACTACGCAAAGGGAGACAGTAAAAGGAAATAATTGCAGTCATCCAGCCTTACTTTCCCAGGAACTGGGACAAGTCTAGTAACTGCCAAAAGTTATTTTATGGCTATGTTTTTTAAAGTCCAGTAATCTGTGTTCTGATCCATGGGATAGCAACTCTATTCCAGAAAATAATAATTCCAAAAAAAAAAGGTTTGGAGCAATATAGGAGCTCGATGACACCTGAGAATTTATTTCATTGGGATTTACAAATCGTATTTTTAAAGCTGCTTCACGACTTTGAGCATATGAAAGCAGTTAGGGACATGCAGGGACATATCTGGCCCTTATGGTTCATAGACGTTTAGTTTAGCCTTGCTTATTTTAAGCATAGGAAGTTCTACTATTGTGGTCCTAGCTGTTATTGCAAAAGGCACTATTATTTTACTCTAGATTAATTTAAAAAGAAATTATAATGACTCACTGGATCAATTATTCATACTTTGCTGAAGTGACAACATATTATTGTACCAAGATATAAAGTTGTATTTGCTCTTTAGCTTTGGACACAATGGTATTTTTAAAAAATCAAACACTAATGTGTACTTTGGCACATCTTCAGCATTTGTGCCTCCCTCTGATAAAATGCAATGTCAGAGCTTTCATCCAGCCTCTGTTCAGACAAGGACACTGCTTCAGAAGAATGCCAGACAATGTAGTAACTCTTCTGAGGTAGCCAGGGAAAACATACTTTCCCTTACAGTTAGCTGCTACATAACCTTGGTTTTATCCTCTTTTCTTTTTAAGTACCCCATTCATGAGAATGAGAGCTTTTGCAGGATTTATGCTTTTGTTCCACAGGAATTTACAGGAAAGAAACGGTTTTTCAGGAAGATTTCATTCCTATGCATTTATGAATTTTCTATAGCAAAGTTCACAGCAACAGCAATTTCAACTATATTTACCTGCAATTAAGAAATAACCTTAATCTCTCATTGCTGTCAACAACATGTGTTTATTTATCTTAAAATTAAAACAGACATTTAAGATCCTCCTATGGCCCTAGTAAACTAACTCTGTGCTTTCATAAAACACCAGATAACTTCTATTTATGTCTTTTTTCACCCTTTGCCACGCTCTTGACGAGATAACTGGTGCTGAGGGTCTCCACATTAGATACTTTTTCTGTTTTAATCTCATAATGGGAAGTTGGTCAGTTTGTATCATTGCCTGGGTGCTACTATGAGAGAAAATTAGATTTCACCGTGAAGTAAAAAGAAGATAAAATTGTAGCAGATTTTAGAGTCTGAAAGAGATACTGAATCATGAAGGTATTATTCAAAAATCACAATCATTACACTCACTTTTGTTTGCTTCATTTTGTGAAAACATCAGAGTGATTTAAGATCTGCATCTTTTCCTGGTTATTGTGGGCATAAATAAGTCACAGATTTGGAGGCAGATTCTCCAAATCTTGAACTATGCATGACATTCAATACAAAGTCAACATATAGTTGTTTATTTTGCTGAAGAATCAAGTTGGAGCACTTGTCCACGAATGTTCCAGCTGTGCTGTGCATATTTAAGACATATTCTAGTTAGCAGTGTCTGTTGGGATTGTGCTCGTGTCCTCAGTATTGCCAGACTTCGGTACTGAAGATACGAAGAATGAAAGAAGCCTAGTCACCACACAGTGATTTGGGTTTTTTCCTACTCATGCTGTGGGAAAGTAAGCCAGTCACTTAGTATTGGGGCCATCGATAGACTGACTCATTGTCATCTTTGCCTTAGTAATTTGTTTTTCGCATCGGAAGTGGGGTTTTTTTTTCTTGATATAGGTATTTAATCTAAGTCTTTCAGATTTAAGAGCTCTTACAGCCTGGCTGTGAGATGATGATCACATAAACCAATTCTAAAGGGCACTAAATATAATTACTCACCTTTAGTGGCAACAGTACTAATAATGAAATGAATTAGCAACTTGATCTTTTGGAAATATTAATTTGGCATCCAGATTTGGAGAGAAGTAGCATAAGAGTGTATGGTATTAGCCTCTTCAATTTCAAAAATAGGGGATACTAGCACTGATTTCCTGTATACT